GTGTGTGTGGAAAGTGACAGAAATGTCTCCTTATAGGCCGCATTACCCATCCTAAATTACACCCTGGCATGGCTTTAAGGGACGACTTCTAGCTTTCCTACACAGCGTTGATCCTGTGATCCTGGAGGGAGGGAGTGATGTCATTGTGAGTGTCTGCCAGAATAATTCACCTGAATAGCAAAGTTGAGTCACAAAAAAGACTTTTACTTTTCTGTCAAACTTTTCACAAATCCTCTGATGTGTAGGGTTAATTAAGATAGAGTAATACTTTTACGGCCATCTTCATATATTTTATAGAGCTTTACAAACTGCCTTATCACCAGCTTTGCAAGTGATCTGATATTTGCAGGTTTGCTAAAAGAGTGTCAAATGAATCTTAGGTGCTGGGAGGGCTGCGGAGCTTCTGGGTCCACTGAGCTGGCTGTGTGTCCGACCTTGCTTTGGAGTGATCTCTAACTGTGCTGTCAGCCATGTCACTAAGAGGCTTGCGTGCAGCCAATCAGTTTAGCGAGGCCTCGCCTGACTAATCTGATTACTTCAACAAGTCTTCTATAGATGTGCAAGACAGGACAAATGAGAGCAGGACTCACCTTACATATGCCACAACCCGCCTTCATAAAGAGGTCTCTGAGGGTGAATGCTTGAGCATTATTTCCAAGACTCTTTTTTATACTAAACCAATTTTTGTTGATGTTATTTTGAGTCCCCCCCCCCCTTTTTTTCTCACTCAAGCTCAGGTTGAAGCTTCCAGGTCAAAGGAGCAACTTTTCGCTAGATTACCACAGATAGCACACAAGATATTTCCAACTCTCTGCTCCAGCTTATATGCTTCCTTTGCCTCAATGAGCGCCGACGTAGAGATCCAAGATAATTTCAAAAACTGGCAGTGGCACAGAGGCTTTTATAATGTAAGGGACTTCACATGTTGCATCTACAAATATTTAAATCAACTTATCAATCACATTCCAACCATAGAATATTTTTGGAGGGTTTTAATCGGAAATCAAAATCCTATTGAAGTTATGTAATCATAAACTGAAATGAACCTAAAAAGCATACCATAATTTACTCCAATTACAGCTGCATATGCAGTGTTTTTTCACCTGCTTTTTTTTTCTTTGTAGAGTTACAAAACTTCTGCAATCACTCACACAAAGCATGCTTGTAGCGACAGGGGAAAGAAAAATTCCCTTTTAACAGGAAGAAACCAACAGAATGAGGCTCACAGTTTGAGCGGCCATCTGCCAAGGCCGAGTGGGGTTTGAGGTGATGGAAGCAGATAACAACATTGATGAAATCAGTTCTTTGGCGCTCATGCCCCTGCAGAAGACTTCAATGCTGTGAATCAACATTCATTTGGATGAGTAACCTAAAAAAAGGATCGGAGAGGTCTTCCCCCCAGGGCCTGGTCAGTGGTGGAGGAATGAGCCAAAGGATGAGTGGGACTGAGAATAGTCTAAGAGTGAGGGAGGAGATGGGGTTGAAGTGGGGGAAAGTTTCCATGTGTGTGGGATAGTGAAGCTAGGCCAGGAGCTAGATGAAGGGGAGTCAGAGGAAGCTCAGAGGATGTGTGCAACCCTGAGTTGAATGGCTTAAGCTGAACAAGTGACATCGCAGTTAGTTCACGTGAAGCTGATAAGACTTTTCACTTAAGTTTTGCTGAAATTAAGCTTAAGATTAATTTGCTGTAACCCAGACTGAAATAAAATCTATAGTCTAATTTAAATTACAATGCTTTTAAAGTGTCGTAATTTTTATTTAACTGTTTACTTTGTGACTGAATTCAACATTGCTAGCAATGCATATAAAAAGCACTTCTAAAAAATTGGTAATTCATTCCTTTCCACCAGGCTTTTGACACTTCTGAACTTTGCAAATAGGTCCCTAGCCTCCTGCAGAGGTGGGACCGATTGCTATGCAAATCTCAGGTAAGTCTGAAGACTTCATCAGTCAAGCCTAAAATAATTCGAGTCTCAGGTCAAGATTGGGCTCTTTTGGGCAGGTCTGGGCCCCCTCACACCTTCTATTAAGCATATCTTCCTGCTGAAGAAGCCTTATAAACGCTATACACAAACCCACACTCATGCATACACATGAGATTTTTCGATTATTCATGTTATGCTTAAATACAAAACTCCAGTTCCACCATAGATAGGTCTGAATGACATTGTTTAACCCTTATAGCTTCTGCTTTTGATGTTTGTATACATGTATTTACGTCATGTCCATGGGATATACCCTCTTTTGTCATGGTTGGTGTGTTGTTTTTTTTCCCTTTTTTCCTTCTTGTTTCTTGCAGTCTGAGAAGCAGACTTCAAGGAATTCTTATTTATTTTCTGTGCTTTTTTACCTTCTTTATTCTCTCTTCTGAATTCTTATTCCCTCCTCCTATCTCACCTCCTTGTACATTGCATCTGATTTTTTGTTTTGTTTTGTTTTGTTTTCCCTCAAAACCACTTCTATCAAAGTCTCATACACAATTCCCAAGGTGAACCTTATGGTACCAGCCATGATGGTCCACTTGTGAGAGAAAATCTGTTGGACTATTATCCAGCACCACAACTCTCAGTAATATAATGAAGAAGAAAAAAAAAGAAATTCTTCCTTTATAACCGGCACAATCTGATCCTTCAGGACCACATACCCAGCTTCAGCTTGCAGCTCGATGCCATAAATGCTGTCACTGCTGTCACATGTTGCCACCAGTACCCAAGCATAATCCCTCACACTCTTTCCATGGGGATCTGCCACCTTACCTATCAGTTAAAGTGGAGGAGGACCGAGTCTTGGTGGATTTTTAGTCATGCCATGTTCTGTATTTATCAAAGATATGGATGGAACAGTAATTATTAATAAACTCACTCATGTAAGAGGTAGATTGCATATTTATTTAGGAAATACATAGATTTATTTAGCAAATAAGGTGCAAAAAGTGCTAACAAAATGTTTTTTTTTTAATTTAGTTTAATTAATCTATTTTCTTCTTCACATTCATGTGCAATTGGAGTTGATCATCTTTAAAAAAAAATGTAAAGTTTGTGGTTGCTGTGGGACAAAATGTGGACAAATACTCAAGGATATAAATGTCTTGGAAGACAGAGTCCACAGTATATTGTTAAACTGAGCTAAAAGTGTTAGATTTTTTTTTTTATGCAGGGCGGAAGAGGATACAATGAAATGCATGTGTGGAAAACATATCTCCTTTGTAAGATAAAATTTTATAGATGGACCTAGCTTTAGGTGCAGTGCAGTGCAGTGCAGAAGCAAGTCCCTTTTAGTACACTTGAGTGTAGCTTTCTGCTTTCCTTTTTCTCTCTTTTTCTTCTGGAACCACAGGGCTAGTTTCTTTTTATCTTTATTTTCTTTTCTCTCTTGTCTAGTGAGTAATAACTGTATTAGCAATACGTGTATGAGGAGTTTTAATGGGCCCTCAGAATCTTGGAGCCATATCCAGCTACCAAGTTTTGCCTAATGGCAACTCCTCTCCTGTGGTGTTGAGAATAAAATAATAATACATGGGAATTAGACATATTATGGTCTTCTGGGAAAAATATCTCTCCATTGCTCACAAATTTTACTGACATTTTCCATTTCAAGTCTGCTATGAAATCAATGGCGTAACGACACAACAGTAGGCAACATTATCTGGGTGCGCCCCATATTAAGTACAACCCAAAAATAATCTTATTTTCAGTTCAATTTGAACCAAGTTTCAGAATCTTTGTAATGCTGGGCATGACTAGAAGAGAACAAATAAACCTGTTTTGCTCCCTGTGCATCACAGCTAAAACAGGGTAGTGAACTCTGTGCTGGAGAAATAAAATATCTACTGAGGCTGTTACAGCTAAAGCTTCTCAATGTATAGGAACTGGTAATTTTCCTTTGAAAAGAGCAATCATTTCAACGAATCTCCTCCAATAGAAATTATTTTCCTTTCTTTGCCATCATTACTTCATAATCTGGGCTTACTTTTTAAAATTCCTCAAGATCCCTTTATAATCTTCATTTTAATTAAGACCTTGAATATTAAAATATCAAAAAAATCTTCAAAGTGGCCTTTTAAAAAGAAGGTATTGTTAAGTTTAAAGAGAAAGAAAGAAATCTGAAGAAATCATAACGGAAATATTCTTATTTTCCCATTGTGAATATATTTACAGTATGAAAAAAAAGGTTTCATACTGTAAATTCTCCAAATAATAAATGTTGTTTTTGTTCATTTCAGCTGCAAAGTCGTTATCATGAGACCCCTAATGCAATAACTTTATCTCTTCCCTGCAAATTATTTCTATTTATCTTCAGCCAGAGTTTCATTTTTTGTTACTTTGCTCATAATTTTAAGGAAAGTTTTATGTATTTAGAAGGAATAAAAAGCTTCTGGCATCACTATGAAAAAGGTCGTTTGAAATTGGTCGTTATGTTATATTGAGAGTTTTCTAAATAGTTTTCTTTTAATTTTCAGATTGTGCATTTTGTTACGTATCCTAAAAAGTCCTGAACTATAAATCAGTACAAGCTTCAGCTTTTTTCATTTAAACTTGAAAAGGAAGTAAATAATTTAAACCGGATTTAATTAATTTTAAACCCTCTATATGCAACAGTTGCTTGGATAAATCAGCATGAGCAGCACGTGAGCGAACAGTGAGTGTGCTTCTACTTTCACCGCCCTCTCCTTGTGACCCCCCCCCCCCCCGCACACACACATGCTTCCCACACTAGTGTGGATTAAGAGCTAAAGAGGTTGAGGAGTCAAAGCTTGTCAGCCCTTCCCACTTTTTCCTTTCCTTTACTTATTCCCTCTCTCAAGATCTCAGCCCATCGAGCCAATCTATTTTTACCTATCCCAACTCTGGAACTAGGCTGCATCTCCTCTCATGTACCTGTGGTTTGGGGGGGGTCCCAGTCCAAAACAGGGACAACATAAACTCAACCAGAGAGACCAACACCCTGGACATTTGGAGAGTTTTTTTCTTTGCTATGTTTTGTTTTTGTTTTTTAAACCTGCTCTTAATAACCTAGACAAGAGATGAGAGGCATCTCCCAATATTACCTTCTTTTTTTATTCTTCATTGTTTTATATCTTAAATGAACTCTGGATTTGTGATGACATTTTTCACAATACAAGAAAAAAGATAAGTGCTCAACCTGAGCACTCTTAATCCACTTGGAATTTAGATGGTGCTATCTAATGACTGACTCAAACCCTGACATGGCTCCCGTGTAGGAAACTACTACAGGTAAGATTCCCATTATGAAGTAGGCATTTTGTTTTAATTGTTTTTTGCGTCGTAAACTTCTGTAGCATTGTAAAATCTGTCTGAAGAGGTGAGAACGTTGGAATCTATGGTTAATTTAATCACTTGTATTCTAGTCATAGAATACAGAAAAAATAAAGATATTATGAAATATTTTACTCAACTTTAACTCAAAAGTTTTGTTTTGTTTGACCATTTTGATTTTCAGAATCACCTTCTTCAAGAGCTAATGCATACTAACACATATTTAAATTGGGTATCTAATATTTCAATTTAAAAGTAACTTTGATCTCTACTTATTTGTGAGTTTTATATAATGAAAGGTAAATTCAAGGTTTCTAACTCTGAATAACTGCAAATTATACACTGCAAGAGCAAAAGATGTAGAGATGTACTGTAGATCTAAGTAAAATGGGATTAGCAAACTTACTAAAATATCTTTCAGTAATTTCTGTATGACTGTACAGTTAAAAATACATAACTTTCACTCTAGTATGTTTAAGTCTCCTTCAAAGTCCGTTGGACTTTATTTAGAAAATGACTTTTAAGATAGAAGCATATTCATCAGGCATAGATGAAAGTGTGTAACTGGGCGAGACTTAAAGACAGTAGGGAAACATTAAAAAAAAAAAAAACAAGATAAAAGGAAATACCATAAAAAAAGGTTAAAGAACCAGATCCAGATTTAGCTCCTGGTTACATGGCATTTGATTTAAAGTCAATGACTATGAGCTAATGAGCTTGGTTACACACATGCTAGTAATTCTCCAACAGGCAGCACAAAGCCTACATCCTGAGCCATGAGGCCATATGGATGCTGATAAGAGTCATAGTGGCATTGTGACATTTCTTTCTTTTTTAAGATTAATATCAGGATACATCTTTTGTTCAACCACAGATATCATTAAATGATTTGTTTCCAATTTTCTAATATGTTTTTATTCTTGTCTCCTGGAGGCAGTGATGGCTTGGGGTCTTCTTGTTGCATGTCCGCCTTTGGACTAGAAGCTTGCGGCGTGCCAAGGGGAAAAATTCCAGAACCAAAGACACTCACAAGCTTACCATTCTAAACGCTCAGTTTACAACTGTGTCTGAGGCATCATAAAAGCTGCATGTGAAAATGAAAACTCATAGAGACCCTCAGTGTCTGCACAACCTTGCCTACCACCCACGATGGCGGCACCACTCTGTTAAAGTAATAAGAAAGAGGCACATATGGACGGTGATCATGAATAGTTTTGCTGAGTGTAGAATGTTTGAATTATCATCAGCATCATTATCATCAAAATCCTTGTCATCATCAACACCACAGTTGCCATCATCCCCAGTGCAGCACACCAGAAGATCAAGGGGGAACTGGTTTCATCTTCTTTTACTCATGATCACAATATTCCCCTGTCAAGCCTGGGCAACAACGTTCAAGGTGGCCCTGGTTGGACCCTGGACATGTGACATCTTGTACTCTAAGGCTCTCCCCGACTTGGCAGCCCGTCTTGCCACCAGTCGTATAAACAAGAACCCCTACCTCAATAAAGGTTACTGGTATGACTACACACTGATTAATGAGGACTGCAAGTCAACTCGTGCCCTTGTTCGCTTTGCTGATATAGAAAGTTACGGGTCGGCTTTCTTGGGCCCTGCTAATCCAGGCTACTGTTCCTCAGCTGCTCTATATGCAAAAGAGTGGGATGTCGGCATTCTGTCCTGGGGTTGTCTCAAACCCAACATGAATGCAGGAGACAAATACCCTACATTCCTAAGGCCGCTGCCACTGTCCGCCCATGTTATTTTCACTGTGTTAAGGTATTTTCGGTGGGCTCATGTGGCCATCATCTCAGAGGAAACAGATATTTGGGAAGCCACAGGCCAGGAGTTGGCCACTTCCCTCAGGGACCTTGGACTGCCTGTAAACCCTGTTGTCACAATGGAGAGTGATAAGGACGGGCCTCGGAGAGCTCTTACAAAAGTGAGGCAAGCAGATCGAGTTAGAGGTATGATGCAATTGTTTGAGAACTTAAAATTCTATTGTATGAAAACTTTGAAAAGTAGTTTAGTATTTTGATCTTTTTTTTTTTTTGCAGTGATCATCATGTGTATGCCCTCTGTCCTGATTGGTGGCCAAGCCCAGTACCGGCTCCTGACCACAGCCTTAGCCATGCGTATGATAGACCGTGGCTATATTTTTATTACCTACGACACTCTACTGTATTCCCTACCTTACAAAGACACAAACTACTACATGCTAGGAAATGATACCAAGCTCCGAAAAGCCTATGATGGGGTTCTCTCTATCACTATGGAGTCTGGGGAACGCAATTTCTATGAGGCCTTCAGAGATGCTCAGAACTCTTATGAAATACGCAGCAGTGCTCCACCAGAACAGGTAAGACTTGCTGAGGAATCTAGTTCCTAAAAGTGAAAAAGAAATGTCAACAAGCATAAATCTTTTTACAAAATCTATATCATGACTTCCCTCTATTAGGTTTCTCCATTCTTTGGCACCATTTACAACATGATGTACTACATAGCTATGGCTGTTGAAAAAGCCCGATTAAGTGACGGCCTCTGGGTATCAGGTACAATCCTGGCAGACAGTGAGGGAGACTTCGAGTTTGAAGGATTCAATCAGCACTTGCGGGCCGGAAGAAACGGGGAAGGGATGCAGGCCGGCTACGTAGTGCTTGACTACAGTGGCATGGGAACCTCACTCTACTCCACGCATTTTCTCCATGCTAGTCACACAGATGGCAAGACGGGGGGCTTGAAATATCTTGGTCGCTCCGTACACTTTGCAGGGAGCACTCCCTACACAGATTCAAGTTGCTGGTTTAGTCCATACTTTGCTTGTACTGGAGGTCAGTGTGTTTGGAAGCAAACTGTTTTTCACAATTCACTGAGGGAGTCGATGTTGTAAAATACTCAAACGTTTGTTCTTCTTTTCTTTTCAAAGGAATGGATATGACCACGTTCCTCTTTTTATTGGTGGTGTTCATTCTGTTGTTGGGAGGTGTTGTAAACTTCTTTCTTTATCTAAAGTATGTATAGAAGGGCTGGAATATGATATCTCACCTTAATCAGTTTTCATTTCCTCAATCTATTATGATGTCTTTGTGCACAGAAAACAAGGCAGGGTTGGGTTCAGCTTTGGTGGTGATGGAAATAGTGGCTCATCGAAGGTGATCCTGACTCTTGATGATCTGGTCTTTATCAATACCCAAGTCAGCAAACGGGTCAGTCTAATAGGATCGATACAGACAGATCTTTTACATCTGCAAGTGATTAACTCTGACGTGACCTCTTTATTCTCTGTGCATAAGCAGAAGCTAAATGATGAAAGCATCATGAAAAGCCAAGGGGACATGAAGACGCCTCACCACTCTGTGTCTGGTCGTAGCTACCTAGCCTCCACTCCTGACAGTTCAAACGTTGCAGTATTTGAGGTTAGAAAATCCCAGATACAATGAAGTTGTGTTTTCTGTTTTGAGTTCACTTGTCTCTGATATAGGAAAACAACTGTTTTGTTTTATTTATCTTCCAGGGTGACTGGGTTTGGTTAAAGAAATGTCCGATAGGAACAGTTTCTAGTGTAAGTGGAAGCACGGAGGTGATCTTTGTAAAGGTAAGTGACTCTGCAAGAGATTGTTCTTTTTGTTTAGGGGAAGCTTGCTCGAGAGCTGTTGATGGATTCCTTTTGAGTTAGTTAATCTTAATCAACATGCTTATCTTAAGCTTAGATTTCTAAGCTAATAAGTATTCACTTTTGTGTTATTGCTGTGCATAATGAAAGACTTGCATCGGCAGATAGGCATACTTTGCAAGGACAGAGAGGATCTGTTTAGTCTTTTAAAGGTGCTAAAACTAAATAAAAGTATTCCACATCACTGGTTTTAGATTAGTTACAGTTGGTACTAGACTTATATTTTAGGAGAAAAATAATGTTCTGCACATGTTAAAGTATCAAATGTACTATACAGTGTTCTTGTTTTTGCACACTTGAGTAAATTAACAAAGTTTATCTGTTCTTGTACAGTATGTGGTAGCCTGGAGGTTATATATTTGTGACAGGTTTAGTGAAATACAAATCAGAAATTATAATAAAAAAAACACCTTTAACATAGCAAATATAGCAAAGTTTCAAACTATGACAGCAGGGTTGAATTTTAAGGTCTTTCTTGGCTGGTGATAAATTGTTATTTTTTTCTACATGGGCTTTCCTGTTTATCTTTCATCATGGACCTACACTTAAGTCTTCAGAGCAAAATAACATTAAAGCTGAGATGCAGTACAAACAGAATACTGATATATATATAAAAAACATAAAACAAGTCCAAGTTTTATTACATTAATATTTTAAAAAGGTTGAAATTGGGAATCCCAGTAAAAACTGGACAACATGCTTTTTGGTCACAAATGAGCAAATTACAGTGATTTATAAGCTATTACAAAAATGCTACCATTTGTTTTCTCTTTCAGCTAAGGGAGATGAGACATGAGAACCTAAATCTTTTTCTGGGCCTGTTCTTTGACTCTGGCATTTTCGGCATTGTGACGGAGCACTGCACTAGGGGAAGCCTGGAGGATTTACTGGGCAATGAGGATGTGCGTCTTGACTGGATGTTCAAGTCTTCCTTGTTAATGGATCTCATCAGAGTAAGAAATACTCCTTTGTGTGTGTGTGTGTGTGTGTATGTGTGTGTGTGTGTGGGGGGGGTATTTTACAAGTATTTTATACTTGAAAATAAACAAGTATAAAATACATGTCGTGGGAAAAAAGTATTCAAGTATTCATCCTAGTTAAATAAATGGAGATCGATGGATTTCACTCAGTCGGCACATTTATTCATATCTTTGCAAAGAGAGAACAGTCATCATACAGCCCTTATGGCACAGCATTCTGCTCTGTTCTGATCTGGACAGCGTTTGTTCCCCCTTTCTTACAACAATGGAAAGTAGTCAGAGTCATAACAAATTACAGACACTTTGGTTAAACAGTAACATGTTATGAATAAACCTTGAGAAAGAATCTGATTTGTTATGGGAAGAAGCTATGTCTGGTCTACAAACACCAGCCTGCAGAGAATTGTGTGGCCTTAAGAGAGAAACAGACTGAGTGAAAACTTTTATAGTGAGTAAATAGGATAAATTAATATATAATAGAAGAGAGATAAAAAATTTCCGACAACATCATTTATTTATTTTTTTCCTTAGGGAATGAAGTACTTGCATCATCGCAACATAATTCATGGGAGGCTCAAATCCCGTAACTGTGTGGTGGATGGGCGCTTTGTGCTGAAGGTGACAGATTATGGGTTTAATGAAATTCTGATGGCACAAAACATAGAAAATGACGACGAAAAGCCTGAAGGTGAGAACACCTGTAAAATTTGAATAACAAACATGCCTGACTTGCATTGCAAACAGTTGTGAATTTTCTTTTCAATAAAAAGACTTGCTTTGGACTGCTCCGGAGCTTCTGCGAGACCCAAGTCAGAGGAGGAAAGGCACTTTCTATGGAGACGTTTACAGTTTCGCCATAATCGTGCAGGAGATCGTCTCTCGCTCTTCACCTTTCTGCATGCTGGACATGCCTCCAAAGGGTGATTGACCTTACACTTCTGACATTTATATATAGCCTTCAGTTCTGTGTACTCTACGACTCACAATATATTCATGCTTATTATGTGTTTTGACAGAGATCATAAACAAGGTGAAAGATCCTCCACCTCTGTGTCGACCCATTGTATCAGTGGAAGAGGCTCCTTTAGACGTAATTCAGTTAATGAAACAAGCCTGGAGTGAAGATCCAGAGAAGAGGCCAACATTTGAGGATATCTTCAAACAGGTGAAAATACGGAAACCCATTCACTGGTTATTCTCTGATAAACTGAACCTCACTCTGAAACACCCTTTTCATGGCAGTTCAAGGGTGTCTCAAAAGGGAAGAAAACTAACATAATTGACTCAATGCTGCGAATGTTGGAGCAATACTCCTCAAACTTGGAGGACCTCATCAGAGAGAGGACTGAAGAGCTGGAGATGGAGAGGCAGAAGACAGATCAACTGGTGGCTCAGATGTTGCCCAAGTAAGTTTTCAACATGAGAAAATGTAATAAAGATGTGCTGGTGTGTTCTGAAATGGAGATTCTGATGTTGACAGATCTACTAAGATCTATCAGCAACATGAATAAGATAAGCCTAGAAAAAACCCTTAAGATGCATGTATCTGACCTTTTAATGACAGTTTGAATGGGCCATTTCATTGGCAAACATTTCACTTAAAAAACAAATCATACTTGATTGTAATTTTTCTGACTTCCACTAATCACTCACTCCTACATAAAGCCCCACTGGTCATTTTTGAGGACTTTATTGAATGCTTCTACTAACATTCACATCCATTATAACAAAACCCTAATCTAATTGATTGATTATGATTGCACTTGGTTGTGTTTGTCAACTACAGGGGTGGGTTATATTTTGGAAAATTGGTTTCCGTTTTCTTCTGAAAAAGTAGGTCTAGTTTACTGGTATCCTAATATAAAAAGAAAAACTACCAAAGGGTGGAATTACAACTGCACTTGAATTACTAAACCAGAGGTTGCAAAACACTTTGGCATATGCTTCAGGGTACACAATAGGCATTTAAAAATAAATATAACTTCACTCTATATTTATGCATTATATACATTATATACTTTTAAATATTCAATATTTAATATCATTTTGAATGTATGTTTCATTGTCTATGGAATTGTGCATTTTACAATTTAGTTGTAGCCTGTATTACGTATCAAATGCTATAAATATTACATCTACTTGGCTTGTGGGACATTTATATACATTATTTCATTCTATATTTTGAGCCTCCGTGTACGTCAGGGATGATAATAACAAGGATTGTGAATACACACTACTAGCCCCTCCTCACTTAAAGATTAATTTAATTGATTAGAACAAAAAAATAAATAACATGACAATCTTTTAATGTCTTTAAAGATATTTATTGATAAACATCTCACATTAACTCATACCGTTAATGTTAATCTTCAATTTCTCCAAAGTGTAGCTGTAGTTAAAGTTGAAAATGTAAATCAAATATTCAATTTACACCGCCAAGGAAAAAAATAAGGTTGACTAATATAATTGAATAAAGCTTTAAAGCTTGTTTGTGTTCATTTGAACAATTTTATTTTGGTCCAAGTCTGAATTTTAACATAGTTAGTATTAGCATGCGCTAACTAATAAGCAGATAAAATAATACTGTTATTCTGTGTGAACAAACTCATTCATTATTGTGAAGAGAAGTCATTAATGAATTAATAAAACATTATAGAGCAACTTTGTCATTCCTACTGTTTCTTTTTTCACCCTGTAGAAGAATTTAAGAGAATGTTCAAATATTGTATAGCCTAGCAAACAATGGTGTTTAAAAAATAATGAAGCTGCTTATAGTCCAGGTGAACAAGGTTATAATTTTCATCACAATGTTTAATGAAAACTAAGTATTCTTTGTCCTAAAAGTGTAGTGGAGGAATTTTTAAAAGACCCGCCCTCTCCACTTAAAAAAATGTGCATGCACACCCCTGTACCCGTTCCCGAGAGGGAACGCCTATTAAACGCGTGTGAGCTTTCAAACAGAGCCTGCACGAGCAGAAATGGGCTCGTGCAGGCTCTGTTTGAAAGCTGCTGTTTTCAGAACTCTGAAAGCTTACTGTGTCCAAACGTCCGCCTTAACCCCTATATCATTCAATCACTATATAGAGCGGGCGCTATATAGTGGACAATGCATGTGCTCACACTGTGCAGCCTCACACTCTGATGCGATCTTACGACGGCCGACTGAATTTTTAAACATGTTTAATTTTCGCCCGACCTTACGATTCCTGATCGGGATGTGGTCGTGAGAGGCTAATCGCCCCTGGTTACCCACTGTACAGTACACAATGCACAACGTGCGATGAGGCTGACTCTCGGCCCCATCTAAAAATTCTCACATGACTGGAAAATCGGCCCGAAAAGGGCAAAAAAATCGCACCGTGAAGGCCCGGCTTTAACTGACCGTTCAGACAGATGATCACTTGCTTTTGCTCCCCGTTGGTCACGTAAGTCCTCCTCCGCCGCGTGGTGTCTGATCCCTTTTTGTTAGTAGTTGCAGCTGTCGGATAGCGACAGCCTATGGTAACAACAGGCAACTGTGACAGCAAATCCCAGAATGCTTTGCGTGGAGAGCTCTCTACGCAAAGCATTCTGGGATATATCTGCCTCTTCTGAGGCCTTTCGTTTCTTTTCATAAACTTCTTAGACACTTTTTCTCTTATGAACCTCGGCCATTTTAAAAGAACGGCAGTGAGACAGGTGAGCTTCAATGACTGTCTGAAATCGTAGCTCACCACAGATATACGCCTGAAAGTGTGCATGTGCAGAAAATGACAGCTAAGGCCACCCTTTCGTAAACATATCACCAGAATGATTGACAATAAGGAGGACCACTTATTTAGATGATCCACTCGGAAAAAGAACATCCTCCACTATAACTTTAATTCTGCTTTAGAAATATGTTTCAGCTTGAATGTACATATGTTTTAGAAAAGGACACTGAACCACGTTCCTCATTCAGGTCTGTGGCCCAGGCGCTGAAGCTGGGCAAGCCTGTGGAGCCGGAGCATTTCAGCGAGGTCACGCTGTACTTTAGTGACATTGTGGGTTTTTCCACCATCTCAGCTCTGAGCGAGCCCATCGAGGTGGTTGACCTGCTCAACGATCTCTATACGCTCTTTGATGCCATCATTCCACTGCATGACGTATACAAGGTCAGCGTTAGCAGCCTGTTTGCAGCATTTAAAAGAAGCTTTATTCTGAATGTTTTTTTTTTAAGGTGGTATTCTTACATTTCATAAAACATTTAGTTATTAATGTTTTTATTTTTATTTTATTTTATTATTTTTTTTTACATTTTTTAAGATAGCAGACCACTGTTTTACTTTATATTCTGCCATTGATAACCTTCACACCCAAAATAGATTTTTGCATCACATTGTCTATAGTTATATTTGTTTAACTGTCAGACTTTGCATTTTATCTGTGGATCATATTCCTCTCTGCTTTTGATCAACATGATTCCAAGTAAAGCCCACTAACCTTTATTTTAGGCTAATTAAACATAAGCAGCAACAAAAATGTGATTCTTTATATCAATTGTTTAAAACTGATATCACCTCTAAAAGATATTTAAATGAAAATAGAGTATTGGTCATTACTTTATGGTTTCAGTTGATTTCTGAAAAGTTGTTTGTAACCCTTAGGTGTTTCAAGGTACATAATAGACTTAAAAACCTTTGGTAACATGATAGTACTCTGCACAACCTACAAATATATAAGTTAGCTGTATTCATCAGTGGAAACTTAGTTTCAATACATTTGTTGCAAACTTACTCTTCTTCCTTATTCTAATTTCATTTTGTTTTTTATTAGGATGAGACAGAAGTGAACAGCAGACACTGAATTACCACCATTGATAAATAATTTAACGATACAGAATACTTTATTAGCTTCTTAATAAAATTTAATTATGGACTGTGCATCCAAACAAACCTGTATTTTTATTTTATTTTATTTTTTTAGCCAAACGCAACAGTGATTAGTGTTTTTCAAAACTTAAGGTTAATTTTGTGAGTTTATGATGGACTTTTCCATCATGCAAGCATATTTTATTATTGGGGTTTAGTTTCCTTGGTTCACTTTTTAGCTTCCTAATGATTTGTAAATGCGAGTTGAGACGAAAATCCTGCAGATGGGTTTGTTCACCTCTTCCTTTTGTGGTGTTCAGGTGGAAACCATTGGTGATGCATACATGGTAGCTTCTGGAGTCCCCACCAGGAACGGCAACCGTCACGCAGCTGAAATGGCCAACATGTCTCTTGATATTCTGAGCCTGATTGGAAGCTTCAAGACTAGACACATGCCTGACCTGAAAATCCGGATCCGCATCGGCCTGCACTCCGGTGAATATCAAGTTCCTCCTTTATGTAGATAATTATTACCCCCAACATTACAACCATGCACCTCAAAAACCATATCTGAACATTTCTTTAAAACAGATTAATATAATTGGATTAACACTCATGGCTGCGTTTTTAAATCTTTAATCAGCTCTTTTTTTTAAATGAATTCTAAAGTCATTTACCTCTAAGACTAAAATAATATCCCAAGGATACAAAAATAATAATTTTAGAGTTACATCTCCTTTGTCTCCAACCAAAAGCTCATATCTAAATATTCCTTTCTTGGTAATTTCATGCCAAAAATATGATTTCCCACCCAAACAGAATTTTAGTCAAACAGTAATTAGTTAAAAATATATCATATTTCCTCTCTTTTGTAATATGAAGGAAATCTTTAAAAAAAAATAATAATAATAAAATAAAGTAACAATGAATTAAATGATCCAAAAATATTTCAGAATTTTAAAAAAAATAATGCAAATAAAGTAAAAATTTCTGAAACTTCAAAAATTTGTCATTGAACTAAAGTGTAATTATTTTAAAAGAAAACTTAACCAAGGACATCCAGAGCCAATTCCTTGGAAGGTCCCTCAGAAAGCCCCCAGATATATGCTTCAGAAAAGCTCCCATAAAAGAGTTTAAGATGCAAAAAATTATCAAAGATTTACTGAATTATTCTATTTTCCTTTCTAGAAACTGTCGCATGCATCATAAAAGAAACTTGCTGCGCAATGCAAAGAGAAGAAACTAAAAAGTGCAGGAAGTCAGTAGTTAAATGTGTGGGTGCAGAGTAATACGGGGTCAAATAAACCAAAACTTCATTTCAGAGTGAGCAGCTGTTAAAGAAGAAGCCGAGTCCCCAAGTGGCTAAGTAAACGAGATATTTTTACCTCTTTTATCCTCGTCTGAAACTCGTTCCTGGAACACCGAAACACTATCCACTTAGAGTGCTGTCATCCAATTAAGAAACTGCACACTCTGGACCTTTGACTCTTTCTCTGTGTTCTCTCAGTTAGAATGCCATTTACACTCTAAAAACTGATCTAACATTAATAAATAGTTCTTAAAATATGTTTATTTGTCCTAAATTTGTGCAGAAAAATAAGATGATCTGCCAATGGAATAATTATTTGTGCCCTTAAATTAGATAATAAGTTAATATTCACTTGGAATAGGATAACAGAGTTTTTTCTTATTTTAAATGTGAACCATTTTATTCAATTGGCCTGCTCAAAAAAATAAATAAATAAAACACTCATTTCAAGAAAACCTGACTTACTTAGATTAAAATTTTTGCAGTTTCCAGTCAGAGATACTTTAATCCAGTGAAATAAAAACGAAATTATATGTTTTTTTAAATGTCATATTACTGATCAGAGAAGATGTTCCAAAAACATCTGGATGTTTGTTTTCACTTGCTTCAATCACAGGTCCAGTTGTTGCAGGAGTGGTCGGCCTGACGATGCCTCGGTATTGTCTTTTTGGAGATACGGTCAACACTACATCTCGAATGGAGTCCACCAGTTTGCGTGAGTCTTTTTAAATACAAGATTTCAACACTAATCACTTTTTCATTTTAATTTTTTTTTAAGAGCCCCCTGGGCTGGAGGACAGGTGTATGGCAGTCTGAGTACACGTTGCCTCAGGCTAAATGGGGCTTTAGGAGAGCAGTGCTCACTAATCCTTTAACACTATCAGCAGAATTAAAGGCCAAGTTGAAGTTTCAGGATAAACTTAAATAATTACCACATTTATATTTGTCATACTGATGCTTACTTTTCAAATTCATACATAAGGTTTAACATTTAATGTAAAGAAAAGGTAATTAATTAATCCATGAAATCTTTAGGTTTATGTATAAGAAGTACTGCTTATTAGATTAGTAACTCTTTAATCAAACACATTTTTTTTTTCTTTTGCACAATTTAAAATCAAATGCTGGGGATTATGGATGGACAGATGTTTAATTTAACTGACTGAAACTACCACTTGGGGTCTGCTGCCCCCTAGTGGAGCAAAATTAAACATTAACCAGATTCAAATATTGGCAGTGTGCAGATTCTCCCCTAGAAAACTCAGTGAATTGATCTTACTTCCACATTTATCTGGTACATTTAACCTGAGCCTCTTATTTATTTAATTCTAAAACTTTTGTTAAATGAGGGAACTTTCTATGCCTTAATTCTTATTAATATTGAAGTAATTTGTACCAAATACTGATGCTAACATCCATGCAGAATAATAGAAACGTGTCTTCCCTCTCCAGAGGAAAGGCTGCCCCTAGAAGTAAAGTTAATGTGTAACGCAACTTGACAAGAATGCAGGTTATAAAACCACATCTGAAAACGGAAATAATCTGTAAAAAATACATTATGAAAATAGAATAAGAAAAATTGGGTAAAAAAATTACTGGCAAGATAAAATCTTTAAAAAAAAAAAAAAAAAAAAAAAAAAAAAAAAAAAAAAAAAAAACAATCAAACATCAAAGTTATTCTCAAGACCATCAAAATCTTTATTGAAAACTTTTTTCAATTCTTTTCTTTTCAATTCTCTTCAATTACATATTTTGTATGTTTTCATTTACTAAATGTGTTCATTGCAACAATAAAACAGCAGAATTCACCTCATATAGCATAATTGTCCCTCCAACTTTGCTGAATAATTACTTTAATAAATAATGGATCTTCCATGTTTAGTCAAACGATCAGACCTTGACTGTTTTGGCATAAAAGGAACTAAAAAGCATGTTAGTTTTTATTTTCTATCCAACTCAGAGAAAGAGACTGAAGTTGCAGAAAACTGGCTTAGCCCGGTTGTAGGTGATGTTAGAGCAGCCTGCCCACGGCCCACTGTTTAGAAATGTTAAAAAGAGGGAGGATATGTCAAAATATAAGTATTCAATTACATTTTATTTTCTCATATTATTGACAATCCTTTAACCCAACATAACCATTTCTAGACAGAGAATCTTATGCCCCTGTGCTGAAAACACATTATTTTTTATTTAAATGTACTTATTTTAAAAGTATTTCAAATATTTCAGATTGGTTTCTACATTGTAACAAGAATCAATCTCTCAAAATAAGAGATGACAGAAGAGACTCTGACCAAATTAATATTTTAATATTTGTTTACGTATGTGTGCTGCCATCTTAACGCAAATGCTATAAGTTATAACTATTTATATGGAGTGAATTTTGTTCCATTATTTTTGCAAGCAAAGAAGAATTTTTCCAAATGAAAACATGAAGAAAGAAATATAATCCATCCATGAAGAAAAAAAAAAAATCAATTAAAAAGTTTTAAGAGTAATGGTGCTATTTTTTCAGATTTTATTTTTCAAATACTTGTTTGTTAATATTTTTAATGTTTGTTTTTTTATTTAATTTTTTCCAGACTTTATGATTGTGTTTTACTAAATTTTTTTTTATACTTAATTTTTTTCTTTCTTTTTTTATTTTATGAATTTCCTTCCTTTTAAATTGCATTTTGCAGATCACATTCTTGTAACCTCCAATCTAATAAAAACACTCTTATAACTCTTGACCAATGAAACTGTTGCTAAGGTCTATGCTGACCAATAGAAATATGTCCTCACTCCACGGCCCACCCCCAGAAGTGAACAGAATGTGACTGCTAAAAGGCAATTTGAAAAGGTTGCAATTCATATGACTAAATTAAATTAGTCTTAAGAATGTAACAAACTCTTAAATACATGAACCACCTCTATTTTTGATAAACCACATGTAGTCCTACAGTTTAGAGCCAGGTATTCGATAATTCTAACTCACATCCATCTGCTTGGACTAGTTCTAAAGACATTTCTGCATTACTGACACTGTGATACTTTTCCACTTGCTTAGCTTACAGAATCCATGTTAACCAAACGACAGTCGACATCCTGAACAACTTGCAGATGGGATACAAGATTCAGGTCCGGGGTCTGACAGAGTTGAAGGTATGTACTTCTAAAGGGTTAACTCTTACTCTTTAATATGTACAGAGGATAAAACTGTCCCTTCTGCAGAAATTAAAGCATAATATGATCTGATTTTAGGGAAAGGGTGTTGAGACCACCTATTGGCTGGTGGGGAAGGAAGGTTTCAACAAGCCTCTGCCGGTTCCCATGGACACCAAAGAGTAGGAAAACATTTTCTTTGCCTCTCCAAATATTCCTGAATTTATTTTCTCTTATTTAAACAGTGCACTGTTCATGGCAGAGGTGTAGACAACCTTATAGCTGCAGCAAGATTATTTGTATTCAGCCAGGAATGCATAAATGCAGTAGTTGTACACAGTTGTATCCTCGCAGTTACAATTATACTCAGAAATTGAACATTTGATAAACCGGAGTCCTATTTACTCGGTAAAGGATAGGAAACTCTGACCACACAGAAAATTCTGTGTCAAGTCAGAGTTAATAGTATTCAGAGGTAAAGCTTGTTTTTTAACAAACTTGAGTTAGTAATTTACTTGCACGTTTCTTTGAATGAAGCTGTTTCTCCAAATGGAATCTTGATTTGCTTTTACATTTTATTTAACCTTTTTATTTATTCAATTAAAAAACTTCAGAAAAGGAGTAATAGTTTAATATTCAAATCATTTCTACTCAGTACTCAAAACTTCACCACTTCTATTTCCTATGGAGACTTAAGACAACAAAATTTTATTATTAAATATTATGTATTTTAAATAGGTGTACATTTATTATGAAGTAAATAAATGTACCATGAAAAAAATGCTACGTCAAATTATATGAATGAGTATATTATATAATCTATATAATCATATATATTATAATGAAATTAATTGATAATGTTTTTTTAAATAAGTTCATTTACACTGCAAAAAACAATCTAGAAATAAGTAAAAATTCCTTAAATCAAGTGTATTTTACCTTAATTTTAGTAGGTAAATGGGATGATTTGCCAATGGAATAAGTATTTTTACTCTTAAAATAAGATAATTAGATAATATGCACTTAAAAAAAGACAATGCAGTTGCTTTTTCTTATTTTAAATGTAAATTGTCTTGTTCCATTGGCAAAGTGTCTCACTTACCTCCTCAATTCAAGAACAAATGCACTTAGTTTAGGAAAAATTTATTATTTAGATTTCCATTTTTTGCAGTGTACATTTGAACCTCTGGGGGCGGGCATTCCTCTGGACTGAGAAGCGAAGATGCATTTCTATTGGTCCGCATTAGGGTCAGCAACAACATTACTGTTGGGGTGAAGAGATTGTGATCTGTAAAACAGAATTAGAAAATAACACAATTTATAAAACTCAATCTGAAAAAGAGACATTGGAAAAAATAAAGATCAAAAAAATGGAAAAAATAAAACCTAAGAAAACAGTTCCTCTCAAAACTTTTTTTGACTAATTCTTTTTAAAGATTCAGTCTGTTTTTTAATTTTTTTTTTTTCAATTTGCATTTATAAAATATGTTTTTTAAATTTTCATTTACAAAAAGTTTTCTTTGTTGGCAACGATATTGGAACAAAATCCATGCTATAATTGAAAAGAATCTAGGGGATTGTTTTGTTAATATTTGTTTGTATGGAAAGGTTAACTGAGTCATGGATAATCTTTTTGGAATAATCTGAGCAATAAAAGTTTAGCAGTTTTTCAAAATTTAAAATATATTGATGCTTGTTTGTTCCCAGGCTGTTTAAATAGGCCTCTGTCATAATACTAAATTGTGAATAGATACTTATTATTCCTCAGACTCTCCTGGTTACACTGAAACTATTGAAAGGAATGTTTACAGTAGTTTGATAGCAGTGAACACATTTCACATTTTTTTTTAAAGTGAATTATTTAATCATTTTGTTTAAAACTCATTTTTAAAATTAAACCAAACTGGTACTGGGATGTCTAATAATAATTTGAGGATGAATGTAGCTCGACCAGAACTAGGAAAATAATCTAATGTTCACCAAACACCATCCTGATCATCTTGTATTAGACTGAGCCGCATCATTTCTTTGTGTTCACTGTCTCATCCATAAAGCCTTAATACCTTGGTTTTGCGCTCATGCACCTCTAAATAAAAGAAAAACCCACCTTATATCTACCTAAGTCCTCTTTTTATTTTCAGATAATCCCTTTAAAATTCTGTTATCTGAAATTACTGAGACACAATCTGATTTAAATTTTCATCATTTAAAGATGCGCCAAACATTGATTAGTTGCTCATTCATTTTCAGTCTTGCTTCTTTACCTCACTACTATTTTAACTGTGTAATAATCACATTATACTTTGAAAATTAGCACACAACATAATCCGTTTTGCAACCCTGGTTTATCTTTTGTAGTAATTTTAAAACTTTTACAGAAAATATCTGAAGTTTTAATTTAAACTATATAGTTAGGCTTCGTTTTTGTTAAAGCCAGCATTTCAATGTTTGACTAAGCTGGGATTTAGATCCATTAATCAACCAGGACAGAACAGCTGCAGTAAATCATACTGTAATAAAATAAATCAAAACTACTTCTTTTAAAGTGTAATTATTTAACTATGTATTTTACTCTTTAACAGAATTATTTCAATGGATAAGTTCTATATAAAACTACTACAATAAATTTGTATATTTTTCATTTGATTTCTACCTTGCTCAAGGCATTTACTCTTAAAAGTTATGTAATAAAAAAAAGAATATATATATATATATATATATATATATATATATATATATATATATATATATATATATATATATATATAGTTGTATCTAAATGAAAATAGAACATTTTGAATATAAAATATTACAATACTTATTACACTTTCTGTTTTTCAAAAAATATATTTTCTCATATTTTTTTCATTTTAATTTTTTCAAACAAATTATCTTTACTTTCTATACTTTCTCTTCACATAAGCCAAAAATAAATGCCTGCTCATGACAGTAAGAAAGGCCCTTGCTGATATCCACGCAGACTGGCAGAAGAGATAATATAAGTCTGTGAAAAAACAAAAAAACAAAAAGACAGTAGTGCAGTTTGTAGCACTGCTGCCTTGCAGCAAGAAAGTCCTGGGTTTGAATCCCTACCCAGGGTCTCTCTGCATGCAGTTTACATGTTCTCCAGGTGCATGTGTGAGTTCTCTCCTGGTACTTTGGCTTCCTCCCAAATAATAAAAAACACGACTGAACTTATCGGGAGAAGATGTATGGAGCAAATATAGAATATGGAAAAATAATACCTGAAAAAACAGCAATACTCTCAAAACCATTTTATTGATTTAAAACTTTTTTTTAACGTTCCATTTCTAAATAGTATTTTGTATAGATTTCAGTTTAAGAGACGTGTTCTTTTCCCTCCATATTACACACACACAGAACCCCACGCCCGTTTACACACAAAGCATCCCTCTGCTCTCCCTACAGGAATCCTCTGTCTTTTGTATTGAATTATACATAATGCTGACACACTCTTTTTAAAGCACAATGATTGCATGTTTTATGGAAATACATGTTTTCATTACTGCATGCTAGTAGCTGACTTCATCCCTTTCCTTTACCAGCATTTTAATAACAGTGGCACGTGTCCTTGTAATGTGAATGAATATTCTTAATTTTTCTTTTATTAGTCAGTCTTAACATACTCTGTTACTCCTTACATGGCTGTAAGCAGCTATTGTGACCTCCTCCTCCTCCTCAGACTCTCTTTCTGGGCATGTCTCTCCCCTTCTCCTCCTTATCTGAGTCCTCCTGCATATTTTTTTCTGCCATCTAGTTTTAAAGTCACTTGTGGCAAAAAAAAACCCTACATGTTGTTTTGTTTATTATTAATTTCCAAAGGTTGAGACACATCTTTCTAGCTACGGTTTCTTAAATTGATAAAATTATAAAAAGGAGGACATATTTCATGTGTCGTATACTCCTATCCTTGCATTTTTTAACACTTTATTCATACATTAATTTAGTTAAACTAATAAATTATTTATTGAAATGAACACATTGAATTGATTATGCAGCCTTTGACATATGACAGCCTAGGACAGGTCCAGAAATTCACTATGGCCAACCGGGCTGTCATTGCTCAGCATCTAGAAAGGAGCTAGGGGAAGGAGATTGACACAAGGGGGCAACAGAGGGTATAAAAGAAATACATAAGAACTAAAAAATAAACCAAAAACAACTTGAATAACAAAAAATTTAAATTAAACAAATGAAAACTCAAAAGGTAAACTTAAACAGATCCAAAACCACAACACGGGCATTACCCTGATGGCCAGTCCAGCCCTGTGTAGAAGCCAGCTTTTTCATAATAAAACCAATAAGCCCTTAACATGGATGTCATATGGGGATACAAACTTTGTTTTAACCACAAATAAATCCGACAAAGTAAGACAAGGCAAGTTTATTTATATAGCACTATTCAGTACAGAGCCAATTCAAAGTGCTTTAAATGACTGAAACAATGAAATAGACCGGGGGTCTTCAACGTTTTCCAGGCCAAGGACCCCCAAACTGATGGCAAGATGGAGCGGGGACCCCCTAATTATATATAGTATGAAATTGTGTTCTATCAAACTGGTCCTATAGTCACTCTATTACAGATGGAGTAATGTAAGGAAAGTCATTTCTCCCTGGGATTATTAAAGTATTTCCGATTCTGATTCCTGGTTGATGGGACAGGTGTTGTGAATGAAAGGGTGCCCAGATTGAAAGAGCTCCTGTGTGTCGCTGAATGTGTGCATTGATGACTGAAAGACATCTTCTGCCTGCATTGATCTTTTTACTACAGTATGTTGAATTCATGTTAATGTGGATTTAAAGACATTTCAATTAGTGGAAAAAATTGCGGGGGGTGGGGGGTTGGGGATATAAAAAAAACACTAATCAATCAAAGATTTCGCGACCCCCATGCAGTACCTCCTTGGACCCCCTAGGGGTCGCGGACCCCCTGTTGAAGACCTCTGAAATAGACAATTAAAAGCCAGTAAAGATAAAAAAAAAAGGGTGGTAAATCAGGTGATAACTAAATATAAACCTTAAACCAGTGATACCTCAGTCAAAGGGAGTTCTAAACAAATAGGTTTTTAACTTTCACTCAAAGGAACTCAGGCTTTCTGCACTTTTGCAGTCTTCTGGAAGTTTGTTCCAGATAAGCAAAAGCAAAGGAACTAAATGCTGCTTCTCCAAAGTAACATCCGCAACGTTGCTTTATTTAGAAAAATATTCTTCCTTTTAACAAGTACCAAAAGTTTGCATTAAGAGCTGGTAAATGTATTGTTATTCTTGATACATTTTGTTGTATATTTCAGTTGCAATGAGTTTTAAAACCCTCTGGGTTTAACAGTTTATACATTTGTCATCAGCAAGGGTATTCTTCCTCCGTCTCTCCGTCATGAACTGGAAAAAGTTGAAGACCCTTAACTCAGTCGGTGAAATAAGAGCCTTTGATTTTGAAGAACATGAGTCCTAATTTCTACTCTTCTTAATTGCTATCTGTAAACACATATTATCTTGTGTTATATTTGCTGAGGGTATTTTCAGGTTCTGTATTTAAAACATAAAAGCTGTTTTCTTTTTGCTCTTACAGCGGAACCAATCATGGCATTGGACTGGATGAGCTCCCTCCAGACAGAAGACAAAAATTCCTGGATCGACAAAAGAAGACAAGCTAATTCATGATCGGAGGCTAACGATCATGATCTGTGAAATCATGTTTTTTACATGCCAAAGACATGTGCGACAGGAAACGACAAACCAATGACATACACAGTGATTTGGAATCAGTGAGAGTGTTTTTTGCAAAAAATGCAAAACTCTGTTTATAGTTTGAGTACAGCCCTTCATTATTAGGTCCAGACTTCTGTATGTAAAATACCGTAAGAAGAATACGACCTTCAATTGACTGTTGGCATGTCAGCCGTTTTCAAAGCAAAATTGCATAAGATACTGCATGGTCTTTCAGTGGAACATGACATGTCTTAAATGTGCTGATCTGAAGATAACTAGCAAACAATGACAGATATAATGCACTGCTGTACCATGGTTCCTGCCATGGTTTCTTTTGCTGCATGTATTCCTACTAACTATTTTGAGTTGTAAAGATGTTGATCAGATTTTTCCACAAGCAGCACACTGAGCTCTCTATCTGGAACCATAGAGAGCTCTGTCATGCCAGACTCACTTTAGAGGCTCTGTTTATTACAATTACACATATATCAGACATTACCTCCCATTACAATGGAACTATTCAGCTGTTTTTTTTTTGTTTGTTTTTTGTTTTTTGCTGCAGTTACATCTAATTAGATTGCTATTTACATTTATATAAAAATACATCAAAAAGATCTAAAAAATGTTAATTAAATTCCCAATAGTGCTCAGGTCTAGATTATCTTTAGCTCCAACACAGAGAAAGGATCTTCTCACAATTGATGTAATTTTATCAACTACCCACAGGTTATTTCAATTAAGTTTCATTTCACTTTTATTTATTTAAATTTTCTTAAAACCTACGTCATCTCAAGCAACTTTACAGAGTCAATTCAACCAGATCATCCCCAGATTGTAAGTTTTTCAATTAAGGAAACCCAGCTGACTGCATCCAGTGATTGACTTTGGTTCAGCCACAGTGGAAAGGAAAACTCCCTTTAACAGGAAAAAACCTCCAGCAGAACCAGGCTCAGTGACAGCGGCCATCTGCTGAGGGTGACTGGGGTTCAAGGAGACAGAAGCAGACACAAAAAAGGAACATAGAAGCAATGATCCATGAAATATTTTCTATGTCAGAGAAGGTCAGAGAAGGCTCTGGTTTGGAAAGCAACAATTAAGCAGATGAGCTCTGAGCCAGTTTTCATGTCAAAGGGATGAAAGACAGTACACATGATTAGTCAAAATGAAAGCCGAACCCATACCTATGTCTGGGAGGTAAACAGGACTTCACACTAAAAACAGGCCCAACTTTATAATCGCATTTTTGGTGGAGAAGCCCAGCTGATATTTCCCCCCAGGTTGGAGTCACAGCCAAACAGGATCAGACCAGATGAAGCTGCTATGATGAGAAAACGGAGCGAGAACATAAAGTTAGGATTTGAACCAACAAATAATGCAGAATTCGAGAATAGAGATAGAATAAAGCAGAGAGAGGAAAGTGGTCCCTATGTCCTCCAGCAGTCTAAGCCTATAGCAGCATAACTATAGAGATAGCTCAGGATAACCTGAGCCACTCTTAACTATAAGCTTTACTTAAAAAGGGAAGTTTTAAGCCTAGTCTTAATAGTAGAAAGGGCGTCTGCCTCTCAAACTAAAACTGGTAATTGGTTCCACAGGAGAGGAGCCTGATAACTAAAAGATCTGCCTCCCATTCTACTTTTAGAAATTCTAGGAACCACTAATAAACCTGAGAATGGTGTTCTCTGTTAGGAACATAAATAACAACCTGATGAGTTTTGTTATTTAGGTTTTATACATGAAAAACAGAACTGGCATAATCTGGTATAATGCCGCACTGCCCCTCCACCACATGCTGCAGTCAGCTGACTGAAAGTAAATACCACCCTTTACCTTTTATTAAGGTAACACTAGTTGGCAAGCAGTTAAATCAAATAGATAATTTTAAGGACATTTACTTCTAAATCCCCATGTTACTATCTGATACATTAAACTGTAATTTTAACCAAGCCTATTCAGAGATAGTATCATAACTGCTCTCAAACTATAGATAACATGTGTTTTAACCATTTTCTAAAACAACTTGCTTAGTTTTGTTGTTGATTTTTTGATGGAGTGTATTTTGCTTTGGCTTTTCTTCCTAAATGGTTGCTTGCTTTCAGCAATGCCACTTAGGCTATATCAGTAAAGGCTGTCTATTTTACTGTAACATGCTATATGCATGGCTGAATGCACTTTTTGTTCGACGCAGCCCTTCACTTCATTCGGCATGCTTCGTCTGCAATGATGCACAGGTTTTTTACATGCAATTGACTGAAATGAATGTTTTCAACACTGTGCTTCAGCAGATTATACTTGGAGAATCTCTGTCTTTCAGAGGGAGATGTCAGGGTTTCATTTCTCCAACCCAGAACTTCTGTTTGGACTCTTCAAGACTTGGAAAAACAAGTATTGTTCCTTTAGTTTGGGGAAGGAGGGATGTATATACTGTAAATGTGTACATAGCTTGCATCCTGGACAGTTAGGATTTTTTCTTGTTCCATGTTTCTGCCTGGGTTTCCTAATCCTTGGACTTAAATGAAGATATCGACAAATATGGCGGTTCAGTCGCCATCTGCCACATTTACTATATTGAGGTAACAACAACCAGGTAATGATAAGATCTGAACTCTGTTAAAAACAGGCTGCAGACCCTTTTTGTTGTTGGCAGCTTGCTAATTATCACGTTTAACCTTGCTGCAGTAGTTTAGTGTGTAATGACAAAAAACTGGACGCCTGATGACTTGATTATTAGGTTGCATGTGGTGTATTACATACCACTCACTGTTTAGCAGTTCTGGCTCTTCAAGCACGATTAAACCCATGACAAAGAGAAGATCCCTAATTTAAATGAGCAACATGGGAGGAGTGGTCTTCTTTTATTGATGGGTATCTGAACAACAACACGGCAAATCCTATTTTAAAAGCAAGACCTATTTCTTTTTTTTTTTTTTTTTTTAGATTTATAACCAATTTGCCAAACAGATAGGTCACATCAAAACTGAATGGACAGCATTGTTCATTTTGGAAGTGATCTCAATGTGTTTCTGTAAATAAATCATGGTTTTAGTGAACACTGTGTCGTCTTATGTCCGTCTCGCTCCTTACCATCAATTCTGCTGAGGCTCATCTCCCAAATGGTGGCCTGGCAGTTCCTCAAATCAATAAAGACGCTCAATGAAGGCAGTATGTCAATGTTAAAAAGTCTAAAGAACAACATTTAAAGGTGTCACAAATAACACATTTCTAGGGAAGTCCTCCCTCTCCATTCCAGCCTGATTGCTCTGAAAATTATGATGAGGTTTGAAGCCTGTTGTGTCTCTATGTGCTGCAGAGACTCAGCTCTATAGAGCACAAATCTAATAAACGCACGAGAATGGGTTTTTACACAATGGATCTTCTTTAAAAGCATGTATGAGATCATTTTTCAATAATCTAATCAACCGAAATAAACTATATTTCACACGCTTATGCTGTGTATATACTACTGTAAATGAGAAGTCCTGAGTTATATTGTAATTGTTTTAAGTGGTTTATGTTTGCTGATTAAAACTCCAGTACCTGGCCAGAGTCATGCATTTAGATAGATGATGATCTTCTGATTGTATTTGGTGCTTAATGCTGACCTATTGACTTTTCCAACACTAAAAGACTCCTTAATTTAAGAGACGAGCCACTGTCGTAAAAATATAATTTTGAGAAAGATATTTTACCTTGGAAATCATTTTCCAAATGTCAATTTATCTTTTAATTCTTTTATTTATGAAATGACAAAATATTTTCTCTAAAAACTTTTTCTTCAGTTTCAAATAACATCATTTTTTTGCTATCTGTGTGAAAATCTGTTCTCTATGATAAATTTATTTTACTTTCAAAATTATTTTCCACTCTCGAGTAAACACACATCTGGACAACACAAAAGTTTGAAACTTATTAATAGACTTCTATTAATAAGTATTAAAATATTGAATAACAGTAATAATAAAATAGTAATAATAGTCAACAAGTACAGGGACTTGATACCTTGACGATCGTAACCAAAATATTTATACAGTAAGCTTTAAAAGCTTATGAGAAAGTGAAGTAGATGATATGAAATAAGGGAGAAGTTTATCACTCGGAGCTTTGGGAAACTGCTTTAAACTTTAAGCTGTTCTTACTACTTGCAGGTTTGTTTGCATAAAAACATGGAAAAAAAGAAATTATATCATACCACTGGGTAAGGGTAAAAAGAAAGCAAATCTCTGATTACTAATAAGGGATATTCAATTAGGAAGACAATTAAATAATAAAAACTCTTCTCATAGCTTTAAAAATCTACAGCAACAAATTTTCATCTGTCTTTCTTCAGTAATGATTATATGACAAAATAAAACTTAAGCTTTGTTTTCTATTTTGTTGTTGTACAGTCTTTGACCTGCTTTATTTTAAAACTTCTGCTGGTAACCCAGTTGCTTTCTTCCTTTCTTTTTTATAAACTTATCACATAAATATCATCTTAATTAAAAGGGACAAAAAAATACATCCTCCAGTAACCCCTTAATGTCTAAATTTATACCCAGTTGAACAAAACATTTACAAATTGTTTCCTTTTAGTTGATGTTTGATTAAACAGAGGTCACACATTTTAGGATTTTATCTACATTTAAAGTACATTCAGGTATGAAACAATTGTTGACACTAGACATCTAAGGGATAACATGAAATGTTCAATCTTAGTATGTTGACTTTTTTAATTCTTCTGTTTTGCTCAGACCAAAAGTAATTAAGTCAAAACATCAGACTGTTATCATCTTAGCTTTTCAAATTGACCTAATTCATGGGAAGTCGACTTGTATACACAGTCCTAGGAGCTACTGTCTTTTTTTTTTTGCTACAAGAAAACAATGTTAGAAATTGGACACTGTTAGAAATTAAGCTACATTGTGTTTTTTTGAAAATCACTGTTTCAAATTATCCAAATACCATAAAGTTACTTTGCTGCACTTTTCTATGAGCTGCTATTCATATTTTGCAATAACAAATCTGTGTTAGAGATGTTATCCCAACCTTGATCTTTTGAAAACCAATGCTTTTTTATCAGTTGGTGTTTCCAATTGAGTTATACAGTATTTGGAGAAAATAGCTTTACTTGACAGTTCTAGGCGGTTCAATGCCCATATTTTATAAATCATTCTTGTATTATAGTATGAAACTACATCATTAATTATTTATTCATTTTGAAGTGGCTCTGACCTTTGCTTTAAGGCTTCATTTTCCCCCACTTGAAAAGGGAACTTGTTTTAGAAGACCTTTAACAGGACTCCCTTTAATGATCAAAAATCAATTCTTTGTTTTCCTTCTTTTATTTTGAAAGTTGCATGTACAATCAGGTGATACACCTTTGAATAAAAACAGGGAAAAAAACACAAAAAGGATCAAAGGATTGTAACCTGATAACCAAGAAGGTCAATTTACCCCAAATTTAAATACTTTTTAAAAAATGACAAGCGCATAACAATTAAATTAAATATCAAAAACTCACATTTAAAGCATCGAAAAAAGGGATAATTATCTTTGCACTGTTTATCAATACTTCTATCCTAGGTCTTAACTTTTAACTGTTTGAAATACACAAAACCATATTTAACAAACTACATATAACAGTGAAACCTTTTAAAAAATGCACTTGATTTAATGAGTCTATCAGGAAAAATCTAAAGCACATTTTATAGCATCCTTATTTCCACAGGTTTATGCATAAACCAGCATTTCCATTATACATAAACCATGTTCGTTGTATTTAGACTGAAACTCGTATCAAGGTAATCTCTTCACTTTTCAATTAGGGGCTAAGTGGAAAAAAATAATAGAAAGGATTCATGCATCCTGGAAATACAACAGATCACCCTGAACACATCATCCTGCTCATTGAAATATGGTGGTGGCAGCATTATGCTATGGGAATGTTGTCTACAAGCTGCTACAGTAGACTTTCTCCAGTAGGAAAATTGAAGCTGATGGTATGATGGATGGAGCTGAAAAAGTCCTGGGAGAAGATGTTTTTCTCTAACATCTATCTCTTCTCCTTGACTCTACCTTGGTCCCAGTGTGGCTCTACTGTTCTTATACCTTACCCAAATTACTCAGGTTATCCTGAGCTATTTTCTCCATTTGTGCTGCTATAGGCTTAGCTGTGTGTTTCCAGGACGGGACCGCTTGTGGAGTTGGTTGACAGTTGCCTTTTGTATCTCTGCTTTGTTTTCTATGTCTGCTCCTGTCTCCTTGAAC